TAGGTACCAACGGTATTTGAAAACTACGTGACGGATTGTCGTGTCGATGGCCGTTCAGTCCAATTGGCTCTGTGGGATACAGCAGGACAAGAAGACTATGAGCGCTTGCGACCATTAGCCTATTCGAAGGCCCATGTCCTCCTGATTGGGTTCTCAATGGATACTCCAGATTCGTTGGAGAACGTGAAACACAAGGTTCGTTTCAGATAAATTCCAAAATAGGCAGTGAATCGGCAGTGGTACTGATCTGCGGGTATAGTGGATCGACGAAGCAAACGAGCGATGCCCCGGTGTGCCGATCCTTTTGGTTGGATTGAAGAAAGACCTTCGTGAAGACCCATTGGCAATCGAAGAAATGCGCAAGAAGTCACTCAAGTTCGTGACGACAAAAGAGGGCAGTGATATCGCAACGTCGATTGGAGCCCGCAAATATCTTGAATGCTCGTCCCTGACGGGCGAGGGTGTTGACGATGTATTCGAGGCAGCTACCCGTGCTGCATTGCTCACGTTTGACAAACGCAAATCGTCTTGCTGCGTGGTTATCTGATGATGCAATTTGGGATGTGCAAAATGCCGACTCTTTCTCTGCCAGCGCGCGGTTTTTCTGTTGACTTGGGAAGTTGATTGATACTTGGTGTCAACCATGAAGATATCAATCGACGCTCCGTTGTATCATGCATCACTGGTGTTTGGGAGGATCTTGTGCTAACCCGGGTCGATTGATCTGGGTACGATGTCTGCTTTCCGGTTATTTTCAGCCGTGTCTTTTCCCTTGCAGGTATTTTCTTACGTCTTTCTTTTTTGATCAATTGCGTCTTCGTGGCTGATGCTTATGCACGTGCAACTCCGGATTCCCCTCCTTCTTATCACTCAATTCCCCGAAGTACATTGCGATCTCACTCATTGTGTTCTCTTCTTTTCATGTAGTAATTCTGGTGCCTTTGTTTTCAGCGCTCATTTCTCATACATTGTGATCACCATCCCCTTAGGGTACTATATAATCAACTATCTCCTTTCGGTACCTCATACGCTGTAGACATATCCTATACTCCATATCCATACAGAGTATCGCACAGGAAACGCATATGTGCAAGTCAAATAAAGTGTTATGGAGCTTGAAATGCAAACTAGTATATCAATATAAAAAAAAAGAGAAATGCATATGTTACATAGCGCCAAAATGATACATATTGTGGGCCCTCCAGTCCAATGAATCTTCAACCCAACATCAAATCCAACCAGACAATCTCTCCATCAAGTTCTCTATTTCTGACCAGGCTTCTTCCAATCATGGTTCCATCCATCAGAAGGAGGAGACTCAGTCTGCATGCGAGCATACTCGATAGGGAACATATCAGTGAAGATACCCTTCTTGTTCATCGAGACGCGGAACAGCTTTCCTCCATCGCCCGCACCAGTGCGTAGCTCCTCACACGCATCCTGCATGCTCTGGTACTGGCGCATCATCTCGAGTTCGTGCTTGCGGCGCTGCTGGGCCTTGAACAATTGCCAAGCGCGGTGGATGGTCCAGTGGCGGAGGTAACGGTTGCGGGAGAAGCGGAGGGGACGGGGGGTGAGAGGGTGGTGGAGGAAGTAGCGGATCAGAGCTAAACAGTTAGAAAGCGATTGTTAGTTTTTTGTTCTTTTCTTTCTTTGGCCTTGGACATAAGACATGTTTGGTTTGGCTGGGGGGGGGCTCGAGCTTGGGACTCGGGACTCGGGCCAAGCGTGAGAGCATGAGAGTTCGGCGTAGGGGTATGGCACATACTAATGCGCTTGTCAACTACAGGACCGTTGCCCTTTCTCGCGGCCATTGCGCTTGTTGTCGAGAATGGCGCTGATTGAAGGGCTGCTGTGACTGGGCCGAGCTGTTGTGTTTGGCGGTTCAGGGTCTCGTGGCACGTCCGGGAAATTGAGGGGCGGACCGGCGCCATTGACATGGGAATCTTGAAGACATTCGCGAGAGACGCGAGCGCTGGCGATAAGGACTTCATTGTGATGGTGGTCTGTTGGATGGTAGGAGTTGGGAGGGCTCGATGTAATTGAGGTCCACGGGGAATAATTCCTTGACGGCAGAATCTTGTCCGCCTGTTTAGCCGCGCGCTTGATGATATTAACATTACCGCTGCATGCATTACCTAGTTGCGAAGCAATTTATACTTCATGTCCTTTTAATTAATTTAATTACAAAATGGTAGAATTTGGGGGAATCCGATATATTCACGACAGAAATGCCTACATCTGATGACTTGTCAATTAAGACAGTGTTGAGGTTTGATGATAGGTACATATAGAAATTGATACACGACTTTTGTGCAGAGATCATGACTTGATATTTTTGTCGAATAGAGCAATATAGAGGTATTCATCAGTATCAAGAATCATCAAAGGCATCATGTGTAAAATATCCCGCCAAAGCCGTCAAAGGGAATGCCATAAACGCCATAGAATGCAGTCAATGCGCCGAAGATGAGAAGAGGAAAGTGGGATCGATTGAGAGAAGAAATGATCTGTTCAAAGCTATCCAGTGGACCGCTTTGTGGCATGGTGTTTCTTAGCTCGATCGTAGTTCAAGACCTTGCGGCGACGGTGTGTTTGAGCTAACTTCCACCGGCAATACAGGACCAGCGCATCCTTCAATAGAACAAACATGCACCCGCCAACAACACTGCGACCCCAGCGGGTCTGAAGTAGCCCCAAGCGACCACGGTCCATGACTGAGGATGTCCATGACTTAGGCAGAAGGTACTTCAACAGGCCACCCATCGACGCTGAGACTGCTGGGAATACGAGTGCTCCGAGTACGACATCAGCGAGATTGCTGGTATCAGCAATGATCTCGTTCTGTCGCCGCCCAAGTCCTAGTGGGTTGTTGTTTTGCCCAGCATCTTGTACTCCGTTAGGGCCGCCATCGGCATCTTCGTCCTGCCCGACTGGAAGGGCCTCAAGATCCGGCTCGTTTCCATCGCCCATTTGCAGCTCAAGATCGATCTCCATCAATATCTGTCCGTTCCCATTATCACCGAACCGGTTGAGACCCTCCGCCTGATCTTGCTGTTGCGCATCATCCAAGATTTCTTCCGCAGCGCGGGGTTGTACTTCGGCAATCCATTTCCGTTCCAGGCCGCCGAATAATCGTTCGTAAAGCGCTCCGTAAAAGCTTTTGACGTATGGCAGCGCGGCAAACGTCATAGCCGGTGTGGGTGGCCACAAGTCGAAGTCGGGTTCTTGTCCCGGGTTATGCGCAGCGAAGAAAAGAACCGGAATGGCGGGAAGCAGGCCTTCGGCATACCGAGTGCGTGAGAATATTAAGACGAGCGGGATGAGCGGCAACCCGATATTCATCCCGGGATTCCATGGGCCCTCCATTGTCTCCTCCATGATCTGTTTGGCCTCCTCGGTTCCGAAAACAAGGTACATTGAATAAACTCCATGCGCGCAGCACCCGGCCCATACAGTGCCGGCCACTGTGAACATCATGCCGGGAAGAACTAATCGGCCTGCTACGCGCTCAACTAGTCGAAGTATATCGACCACATAGCTTCGCGGGCGAGTGACCACGATTTCCGTCTTGCACTGAGGGCACATCATTGTTACGCCACCACCGTTGCTTTTGCGCGACCGGGGATTTTCCATGTCGGCAAGCCAGTCAAGCAGACATGCCTCGTGGGCTGTTAAGGCACAAGGGCAAGGCGACCGCCATTCCAGATTCAGTGGCGAGTCCTCCGTTTCATCTGTATAGCAAATCCAGCATTTGCGCGGCTCGTCTTCATCCGAGATATGGGAGGGTTTTGATGATGGACTGAGTGATTTGCTGGAAATATCCGATCCGTGGCTTGGGGTTGATACACTCTTATTCAAGAAAACGGTTTCAGTGTCCTCCATCGACTCGTCCTGAGGGGAGACGTTCTCTTGAGAGATAGTGTTTTCATCAGAATGGGCAGATGTAGTGTCATCTAGCGATCTGGTTCTGCCTGCTGCAGAATATCCCGGGACGGACGCCATCGTAGTGGAGACAAGGGTATGCAAGTCAGGGCCGATGAGAAATGTCGAGAGATAGTGCGATAATGATCTAAATCGAGCTCGATAAGAGACGAAGAATGGGGTTCAGCATCTTCTGAATAGAGAGATGAACTATATGGAAGCTGATGAAGCAAAAAAATGTCTCGAATTTTCCCCCAGAGCACAAGAAGAGAGGAGCTCCATTCCGCTAAGTGGAGGTTGGAGTCTCTTTAAGTTCGGCTGTGAGCCGCGGCTGTCAAAGGCGGTCACGTGGGACAATCACGTCACATTGGCCATCGAGCTCAACCTCAACCCGGAGATGGTGAATGCTCGTCGGACATCTACAATGTTTAGATATAAAATTGCTTCCGCATTTGTTTCACATTCTATCTCACCTGAGGTAGGATATATTAGCGTGGAGTGTTTGCCCCTTATGCACTTATGTCTGAGAGATCAGGCTTTATTTGATCTCGGCCCATGTATAGATAGGAAAACAACTGGGTAGTATAAGAACAGTTCAATCATTGTTCCTGGTCCTCTTATCTCTATCCTTTCCAATGGTATGATAGCCCTCTGCTCGCTCTGTGTCTTTGTAGTTGTCTAGAGTTTTGAGGCCGTGCTAGTGGTGTTTGATTGGTCTAATTTGCAACAGGGGACCTCGGGAGTTCTACCTTGCTGGGCGCCGAATTGGACTCCGAAGGCATGTTGCAGTCTTAATACACATATGTATCTGTTATATGTTGTATTGTCCCCTTCAGGACAAGGCATGTATGTAGCAGGTCTGGGATGTTGATGATATATCAATTTGTTTAACTACGGAATACTACAGTTGTCTACATAGAAAGGTAAAGAAGATGTCGGAATTTGAACCAAGTAACAAATCAGTTATTAAAAACGCAGAAAGGAATACCTATGGTGTGATCTGGCGATCTGGTGAGCAGGAGTGGAACATAAGCGACATCATAGGAAAGCGAGGGGTAATCAATCCACACACCCAACTACTGTTTAGGGTGAATGATACCATCAGTCTCCTTCTTGCCGTCAGCTGAGGCAGTCATATCTTCCAGGGCATCATCCACTTTAACTGGAGTCGAGAAGGATTCAGCCATCGCCGCGGCAACAGCTGCAGGTTCAGACGCAGGTTCAGAGGACTTTGTCACGTATACGTTGTTTCTCTCCTCCTCATTATCTGCTGATTTGGCTGCAAACAGAGACGATTCAGTCGGTTCCTTGAGCTCTGCTGGAGTCTGAACAGGCTGCACATCCGATGTTGTGGCTCCGGGCGATGTCACGTCCTCCGCAACGGGAGATTCAGGTGTTGGGTCTACAGATTCGCCGGCGGTGTTCTTGGCGAGTGGAGGGGCCATTGGGTGTTCGATGGGCACACATGGTTCTTTCACTGCAGCGGAAGGCTTCCCCTCGTCGTTGTCTGTCCCAACAACCAGGTTCCCATCCTGGCCGACTTGCCAAATATTCAAAGCTTCCGTGATCTTAATCTCTGGAATAGTGGGGAGTCTGGAAGTGGTTTTCTCGACGGCTGGCTTGCGTCGTGCTGGGCCGCGGGCTCTTCCCTTGCGAGCATCGCTCAGAGGCTGCTTCTCAACCGGCGCCTCGGGCTCCTTTTCCTGAGGCTTGGGCTGTTGTGGGCCAAGCTGCAGGCGTGAATTGAGATCGGTGAGGAAGCCCGCCTTCATGGCTGCGATCTTGCTTCCACCCGGACGAACAGGGATTGCGGGTTTGGCCTTGACTGCAGGAGCTTCTCTCGGGGCTTCAGTAGTGCCTGCTGTGGCCTGGGGGCCGGATTTAGCGGGACGGGTAGGGACCTGGGGCTTGGGCCTCTCTGGGATTGTTGGTGGCTGGCGCTTCTCGGTCGGTGAGATAGACTGAGGCTGTCTTTGCGGGCGCGGGGGAATTCCAGGCTTGGAAGGCACTTCCGGACTTTTCAATTCTTCTTTTGCAGGCTCAATTCTGGTCACCAGCTGGTGACTATCGGGAGCATCTTCCCAAATATCTCTACTGGGGAAACGCTGTTTCAAGGTGTCTGGTCGCGCGGGGACCTTGTCCTTGGCGCTCTCACCTTCTAGGATGTGAGCGGCCACTTGATGAGGGTCGACTTTGGTGTTCTGCATCCTGCGTGTGGCCTCTTGCTCGGGTGTCTCGAAAATTTCGGAAGAGTCTCGCTTAGGCAGATCTGGAGTGGTGACAGTGGCCTGAAGCTGCAGACTGTCCGGAGTATCCTCCCAGATATCCTGGCTAGGAAATCTATGCTTGAGTGAGTCGGGCCGTTTCTTGAAACGATCCGCAGCTGACACGGCTTTCTCATTCTTAGAATCCTCTTCGGGGAACAACGGCTCATACTCGTCCACGTCTTCAAGAGGTGTATGCGTATCCTCACGCGAGTCATAACGGGTCAGCACCGGGAATTGGCCTTGGGCGCTTGCTGATCGACTGTTGGAACGACTGTGCGTGACACTGGGGGTTCGACTGCGGCCATCATCCTCGTAGCTTGCCCGACGATCAAATGTCGGCGAGACGGCAGGATGTAAGTACGCCGACTCAGGGCCCACTTCATCGGCAGCTAAAATTGGCTCTTCCTCCTCCACGGCATTCTCATATGTCGGCTCATCCTCTTCTAGCGCGGGGGTTGGGGCAAACCCGTCCGGGTGGTGCAAAGGATGCATCGGATCATCCACATGGATTACGCCACCATCACGATGTCCATGCGAACTGGATCTGCGTTGACGCAACGGGCTTGCGGTGTTTTGCTTCTCCATGGCTTCTGAAGGGAAACTCATCTGTCGAAGTGGCGACTCAACACTCGGCTGGCTTTCGAATCGAGCGTCAGGAGGGGGGGAAGCAATTTGATGTATGTACTCGTCGGACGCGATATACCCGACTTCCTCTTCAGGGGTTCCCACAACGTTTGGGGAAGTACCTGGATACAATTAGCTTTCAGCCGACAACACAATTGCTTCAAAATCCTCACCAAGACCAGAACCGGTCTGGGCTGAGCTTCGAACAATCTTGTTCAGATCATCGCTACTCATTGCCCAATCAGGACGCGGAGTACCGACACCAGGGCCATATTGTCCTTCTTCCTTCACGAATTCATCGGGATGCTTTTCATACCAAGCCTTCTCAAACTTATCGGGATGCTGAATACCATGTCCGTGCAAACCGTAACTACCAGGGGGGAGGGAAGAGTCCCGAGCACTACGAGTGCGGTTGTGGTTACGGCTCGACCGCTGCGAGCCTTGTTCAAGGTACGGGCTGGGGGATGGTGCCTGAACCTCACCGGCATGGGGATACATGGGGACGCGGAACCCCTGCTCTTCTTTGGTATGAGCAGAGTGTCGGCGCTCATTGGATACAGTTGAGGATTCGGCGCGTGAGCCACTCGTTCGGGAATGTAGTGAACGACTTGAACGTTCTGGTTCCTCGCGAGCAGGCGAAACGCCTCGGCCTAGTCCTGCCGCAGCAGCCTGTCGGGAATCAGTGCGGGTGACAGCCTGGACTTTTGCTTCAGCACTTGATATCGGCAACGAAGGTCTCGGTGCATGGATCTTAAGATCACTGCTAACATTGCGAGTCTCCGCAGGTGTCTGGTGGTGGTTATCCCCCACGTTTCCTGGGTCGAGATCCGCATATTCAATACCCTCCTCGCCGAGAGACGGTATTGTGACGCTTGGGGGACGTGGAGGCAGATCATTCGAAACGGTACGGCTCATGCTAGGACCGGTCCATTCATTGAACGGCGAAGGTGCATAGCTATCACGCAAGGGCGAAACAGAACGATCATTGCGGCGGTTGCCCGGGCGCGGCGGTATCTTGGGCATTTCTAATGATGAAGATGACAGCGGTGGTTTGGGAGATCGAGCCGGTCGAGGAGGGATGGCCGGAGCAGCTTGGGTTGACATGATGAAGTTCTGGGAGCTGTTAACAGGTCAGCAGCAGCCCAACCGGACACCCCACGAAGATGCTTGGCCCTATGCGGGCTAAAAAAAACCAATGGATACACGGCCCCCATCGACTTGCAGGGATTGGCGCAAGTGCTATGGATATGCATCAAATTGATGCAAGACTTTCAGGAGCAGACGGGCCCTTGCAACTGATAAGAGCATACAGAATGATTTGCTTACCCGGATATGGTGAGAACCAGTTTCAATCCAATTGGAACGACAGTCAAAGCGTGCAATCAAAACAGTCAAGAACTGCAAAGCAGATAATTGAAGCAATTCCGAAACTGAGTTTTGGGGAAGAGAGATGATGTATGCTCTTTCTGCCACACCTGACGTGCTCTGACCGCAACAGATAATGGGCGTAACGTACTAATACTGTATCATTACAGGCCAGGTAGCAGAGCCAACTACAACGATCCGTTGCATTCAACGCCCCGCCTATGAGATCAGCATAGAGCCTTGATTTTCGATCTGAATCTTGAGGCATTTTCCTTCTTTTATTCCTGCAAATCGCTCATATTAGTCAAGAAATAATGCCTCGTTTCTATAACATTACAGTACGTTGTACAGTTGGCCAGATCATCACTAAGTATCAAAGGTATATTGTACAAGATATCTAAAAATATGGAGCTCCTCCCGAAGTCAGTGTATTACACAAAGAAGTCTAGAACTTGCAAGTTACAATCGGAGTGTTCTTTGACCTCTACTCCGTAGGGCTTTTACTTTTGATAAGACGATTTCCCTGCGGTTGGATTGGTTGGACAGACCGAGGCGGTGAAGTGTCATGGGTTCTCCGCATTGCATCATCGCTATCTATACAACTCTACCTCTTAACATTGTACACTTCACTCTAATATCACAGGACATTCTTGATACATATGTGTATGCTACCCTGCAAAAAATCAGTCTCTGGGTATCTCTTTCTTTCAATCTTGTCTTCCCTTCAACTAATTAGGATACACTTATCTTTTCAACGTTGAGATCCACTCTCAACCGAAACAGCGAGAATACCCGCCATATATTGATCACCAGGGCTGAAAAGAATTTGCGGGGTAACATGAAATATTCCAAGGTCTATATCATCATTTGCGCCACGTTCCTGGGCTCAGCTGTCTATATCTATAATTCAAGCTAGAATGGCGGCTTGTCCCGTGCAGGGCAAGCTGGACGAATTACATACGTCTGCCTAGCCCAGTTGGACAAGTTCCGAGGTTGTCAGCATCCGAATTACCAAATCTACGACGCATAGAGTGCATATACATACGATATACAACTTACGTGGTCTCGGGTCGGCCTATGACTGACATTCAAGGCTAGTTTTAGTAAATATATCGTAATCTACATCTATTCCCACCTAGTCCTATTGGTGGAACTCGTTCAGGGCCAAACTGGTGTAGATGTACTTCCAACCATATATATGTTAGACTTGGGCTGAGTATCGCCCACATGGTAAGATACTACCTAATGGGCCTGGGAATTGTTACCTTGGGTACCCACGTATCGGTCTCGATACCTGCAGAAATGAGGGATCGTCCACATGCTTATGCTTCTAAACTCCAGGAGGATCTTAAGGCTTCTGCTTCTCCAGATATATAGCGCATAGCTAAACGGAGTGTAGTCTGATATTCTGAGTAAATTAAGCTTGGTCAACGAATACACGTGTTAAGGTAGTAATCAAAACACCTATTCTGGCGGACACAGTCCACAAAACAAAGGAACCTACGGATATATCTGCCGTAGAAACGCTCATCGACTGTGAAAACAGACATGCCCAGTAGGATCACCCTGAACCAAACCGACACATACAAGTACAGGACAATAAAAAAACAAAACTATTTCATAGCGCATCCCAATGCATGCTGCCCAAATGGCATTTTTCTCTTTGCACCATCTGTATTGAGCATCTCATCATGTCGCACAGCCCTCCAATCACCAATATTAATCAAATGGGTCCAGTTGGGATAGAAGAAAAAGAGGCAGGAACGGCTCGGCATGAACGTTATGCCATCAGACAATCATCTGCGCAACTCCCTGACCACCTAGTGTCTTGCTACCAACAAAGTCTTGCTTCTTCAGGGCTGCGAGCGAATAAAATATAGCCGTAATGAAGAGGAAGACAGCACCAGCAATCAAGCTACAAGCATGTTCGGCAAGACTGATAAGTTGGATACCGCCAAGGACGGCGTAAATGAGGGCGCGCATCCAGTTGGTTGTAAAGCGGCGGATGAAGGCATCAAATTTCGGGGATGTGGGACAAATTCGGAGGAGGAAGGGTACTTCAATAAAAAGGATTACGAATGCCGAGGCACTGAAACAGGTTAGGCTTCGCAATGAATTGGTAGGGAATGAATGCGACTCACATGCTGATGACACTTATGATAATCAGAAGCACATTGAACGAAAAGATGTTCGCAATACCTAGCGCAAGGCAAAGTATAATACATAGCACACCCGTCCTGTATGTTTCGTTAGACCGATCCCTTCATATGCGGAACTAATTTTCGGGAGAGTGATTGAAAGGCCACCACACGAGGTAGCACACGCTATTCAACCATCTAAGCAAAGTGCTCAGTGCTCTCCCGCGACAGTATTCAAGCGCGCAAAGAACACAGGAAGTTAGAAGGTAACAAGATAGACTAACCATTGTCCATAGATGCCTAGAAAGGGCCAGCAAGGTTAGCAGATTGAGATTTGGCGTCGCAGAATCCAGGTACTCACTGAAATTTCGCGATCGGAGCTCCTCGCCCAGCGACATAGTGGGCTAGCAAAAGAGAATTTGGGTGTAAACAAGGGCTGAAGATCAAAGATGGGGGATTCGCGGATGATCAGAGGTGTCAGAGCGGCAAAGTGTACACGCGGCGGGTTATCCAGGGCGGTCAAAGGGTGAAACAAACAAAACGGGTAACAACGATGTGAGCAACCTTGGAAGCTTTGTGAATGAAAGGTCTAGGGATATGACGATTTACTTGCGCTGTGTTCCAAAGGTTCCAAAGTTGATTTTGATAGGATCATCAGATCGTTTTCCAAGCCAAGTCAAAGTTCACCTAATCACCAGGCAGACGCCAATGGTCAAGGCCTCAATATATATAGTTAAGCCACTTATTCCGATACTTAACAGATTCATGGTCTATTTTTGGAATGAAAAGAACCTGCTAAAACAATCAACTAAGCTATGAGCCTTATATAAGTGATGAACTCAACACGCAATATCTTGACTTAGGTGTTTGGTTGTGACGTTTTGCAAGTCAGCTTGTGTATATTTTGAAAAGGGAGGGAGAGCACGCCTGTTCTCTATGAAAGCCGAACAATATGAGAGCGGAAGTCTTAGTAGCTTCACAGACATAAACATAGCGAGGACACTGACGAGGATCTTAGATTGGAGATAGGTTTTCACGAATTCCCTAGATGGTAAGATCAAAACTAAACTACTGTTATCCCCTGGATAGAATGTTCTGTGATGGGATCCAGGCACTCTTTATACTACAGATGAAGAGCAACATCCTCGGCAGCAATTCGCATTCTTTACTATAGAAGTAGGGAACAGTTGACCTTCCTAAACAAAGTCTGAGTATATAACGTAGTTCGGATTTCATTCCTGTTTCGCTCCCTGTCTAGCAGTACCGGGAATCGGAATCGCTATCACGTACTTTTTTGTTGGATCAAATCTAATGTTCTCACTTGGCTATTATTGAGGGCCATGCCACTGTGTTGTCTGTAATCATCGAGCTAACATTCGCTCTTCAAATGTCAAAATGTTAGATCTGATAAGATCTTTATCTCTCGGCTTTTTACATCAGGTCAGAGTCCTGCTGATCTTTTCAATTTTGGGTGAGATATCGTGCATTCTACATCTTATTTATTTATGTGTATAAAAGTTTGAGATAGAGATGTCTATATCAGGGGAGCACCCAAAGAAGCACGTAGCGTAGTCCCAACTTATTCCCGAGGTCCCCGGGTCCAGGTGAACGTTCAATCCCTACCATCCAATCATCAACTCTCGTATGTAACTTAAAGCATGTACCTGAATAATGGAGAGCGGTCGCCCAGCGAATCGGGATTCTCAGGATACTCTGAAGGGTCCATGGCATCCCGCTTTCGGTTAATACGCTGGTACGCCATGCGCAGAACGACAGTCGCTATCATGCCCACGACAACAAAGGCAAGTTCAAGGGAGTGTCCAAGGATGTAATTCGGTGCATCTTGAGCTCGGTAGAAGTTTGAGGACATAGCTGTCGAGAAAAGAGCATTAGTTTGAATCTCAAACTCCCAATTGATGTGATATCCTTACCTCCTGCCAGGTTTCCTAGTCCAATATAAATTGCCATGCCAGCGGCTCGCTTGTAGTCGCCTGCCATATTGACACTGAGCCATGTGACATTTCCGGGGAACGCCGGATAGATTCCTTTTGGTATTTGTGTTAGTCGGGTATATATAAGGACGCGGAAGTTTGTAACTGGAATGTACTTACCGACGACCGCGACGAAAATACCAAAGTACATAACGCCTGGGACTCCCCGGCCAGTAGATGCGAGACAGATAATGAAGCCGATTCCGATCATGCCCATAAAGAAGAGAATGAATGGGGATCGCTGCTTGCGTCTGTCTGATACCCATGCTGCAATAACAGCTACAATTGCTGCGGTAATATAAATTGGTACCTAATATGATGATGTTAATCTCCGCTTCAACAACGAAGTAGCACAAAGAGCTTACAGTAAGGAGCTGTGCAGTCGAAGACTTATATCCTAGATCCTTGATGATCGAAGGAAGGAAAAGAGAAATGCCGTATAGCGGACAAGTGATACCCCAGTACACTTTGTACGGATTAGTCAATGATGCATTGAATACTCCAAAGCGAACAGAACTTACTGAATAAACCCAACCAAATCTGCCAATCTGCGAAAGCATCAATGACATAGCGCATTTCAAATTTATCATTCGTTTGATCAATTTCGCGCGCATCTGCTGAGTTTTGAATCCGCAAACTGTGGATCACAAATCGACGCTCTTCTTCAGTCAAAAAGGTAGCAGTTTCCGGGGAGTCGTGGATGGCAAATGGGGCTATAAGTGCCACAAGAACCGTAAGGAGACCCTCAAGAATGAAGATCCACCTCCAGCCAGCATATCCGCCCACACCGTCCATTTTCTATGAATTTGGAGATGCATTAGTAAATTTCCCACTGATATCAGCGAGTAGAAAACCTACAGCGATGGCGTATGCAAGAAGCCCAGAGAATGCACCCGCAACACTGGCAGCGCTGAAGAAGAGAGCTTGTCTGAATTGTGCTCGATTGCGTGGGTACCAGAGTGTAATGTAGTATGCCACACCTGGATACAAACCGGCTTCTATGTTTTTTTCATACAATCATCAGTCTTGACTTGAATGAGATGCAGGTCAGGAGGGGGAAGACATTAACTTGCCTGCGACACCCAAAAACAATCGGGTGGCGAGCAATCCACCGTAATCGTTGACAACTCCCATCAGGGTCTGTTTGCAACGTCTCTATTAAAGGGGTGTTCGAGTTGAACCTCAAAGAATGCGCGTGCTCACCATAACAATTCCCCAAGCGACCATGATTAAAGGAAGCCATCTCGAGGGTCTTAGCTTCTTTAGAAGCAGATTGCTCGGCAGTTCAAAGACGCAGTAGGTAAAGAAGAAGACGGTCACTAGCCACAAACAGATGTCAATTGGCCATTCTTTTGTTGAAAACAAGCAACCGAAGGGGTTCATCATACAAGTCCAATTGTATTGCGGCCCCGTCATATGAAGATCATCAACAAGTCCTTCTATCTTTGCATTACCGATATTCCCACGGTCCAAGAAGGCCAACAGATATAGCATGCTCAGCATGGGAATAAGACGGAGGTCCATCTTCCGGAGGACAGCCTTCTCATCAACTCCCTCGAAGGTCGGTGGGCCGAGGCTGGATGCTTCCGCATCTGCGACTAGCCCATCTTGCTTGAGATCAGCGCTGTATGGGGAACCTTGAACAGTTGTATCCTCAAATTGGTGTAGGGAGGTCTTCTCCGAGGTGTCTTTTGAATTAACCATGACAGGCAAAGAGAGATGAAAGAAGAAGAGAGTCAATCAGCGTGGACATCATTCTGCGAGTATTTATACTTATCCCTTGAAAAAGGTTTAGTGTGACCCGGGGTAAGTCCGAAAACTGGGGAGACAATCCCTTGGCATGAGGGGTATACCACATTGGGATGGGCCCAATCGATCGAAATAGAGCAGCCACACGAAACTCAATACGAAGAGTCTCAAAGAATGTGTCCCGATAACACATTTGATGGTGACAGTTGATTGGCTTGGCGTGATTTGACTTTGAAAGAAAATCTTGAGCGTTATATACCAAGAATATTGTACGAAGTACATGTGAGCACATGTGAGTACAATGGAGACATGGGTGCTATTTTCTGGTTACTGATTACTGGCAGCAGATCCCATGGATGCTAAAATACCTTGTAATTACCATACTGTAGCACCAGTCCGCTCAATGCACATGTGTGTATTCTGAAAAGCCTTCTCCGGGGCTCCAGGTTGTGTTGTATCATACATTATGTACCCATAATACGGTGTTGAGGTCTTGGAGAGGCCATTATCTCGGTCCACCACTTCCAAGCTTTAGAGTCAGATCATTCCATCCATGGATGTATATACATATGAGGCAAAATATAGCAATCCAAAGTCCGTCTAGCTATCCTACCCAAGGAACGAGACTACCAAGCCATTATGGATCTTTCAATTGATCCTCATAAACCACTGTGTTTTAATTCTGCCATATGCTTTGAGATAAGCTAATATTTGCCCTAGAAAACAGGAATGATATCGAAGCAACAAATCCAGCAACCTGGTTGGGCAGCAGGTGTAGTGCACCCGGGACTAATAGTACCAAACTCCCTACGTATGTACCACTTGAGTAGAGGGCCGTTAAATTCGATGGGGCCACATATACTCGCATCTGGAGGGCTCTGCGGTTGGTTGGTGAGGGTGGCAATTAGTCTCCGTGATGGGGAATGATTGTCAAATGGGGCAGTCATATATACATACTACAGCAGGAGACGAGCAGAGGAGAGTAGTAGGCCAGCAGCCCTGGGTACAGAGCTTGTAGTTTGGGCCCGAAGGGACGGGAACGAAGGCGGGCATCATGAAGTTTTTCAGAGTGCTGTTTCTCGGTAGAGCTTGGGTTTGCAGAAAGAGCCAGGCCAGGGCTGATAGATGGTGAGAGGTATTGTGTTTTGGGAAGGGGAGGGTCTTTGAAGTACAAAGTCAATTTTAATTCAAGTGTGTTAGCTCAAAGATTGGGGAACAGAACCCAAGAGATGGCGGCTTGGGGTCCTCACATATGATCAAGTCTAGCGGTTGAATTGCCGTTGTGCTACCGGGATATTCTTGTTTAACCCCGGAATATACCGCAACCGCTCATTTGGAATCAATTGTGGCCTTGGATTGGACATGGGAACCTTAGAATGTAGAGGAAATTCGTTGGCAAATTTAGGAGAGTACGTTCAATAAGGTCAACAGCCACATAATATACCTCCAGGAAGTATTCCTCACACATCTCTTTCCTTTTCACTCACTCCTTACCTTTCTGACCTCCTCAACTTTTCCATGATTGCCTTATACACCAATCTCTCATCTTAGTAGAGGTATTTGACCAATAATATTGCACCTCTGCCCGTTTGCTCGAGAAGCCTCCTAAAGGGACGCCTAGAGTGCCGTGGATAACCTTTTTACCTGCCGAGAATACGATCCTACTAAACCCTATGCAGATATCATTACAGTGACAAAAATATTGTAGAACTAATTGTGAGATAGAGGTACGAGCTTGTAGTATCGAGGGCGCTTAGCCACATTTGCCCTCAGAGTTCGATCATCACGGGAAAAGATCCGACATTCAATCATCATAGCATCATACGCCCATGACCTCTCCCCCTCAATCAAAGTGGCCACAATGACTATCACTCCAGACCATATCTCACAGGGCCATCTTCCACCTGCAAAACCTCCACTTTCCAAAGCAAAATGCCATCAACCCCATGGACCAAGCCTGACACAAGCACACGCCCAATCGCCGTAATCGGTGGCGGCGTGATGGGCCGACGAATCGCCATGATGTGGATAGCCTCTGGCTTCCCGGTAATCCTGTGCGAGAAAGTGCTTGACTACGGCGACGCCGTGACCTACGTTCAGGAACACGAAGCTGAGCAAGCCAGCAAGCAAGGCACGGAACCCGCCGAGCTGAAAACAACGACCTCGCTACAAGAAGCCTCTGAGAACGCATGGATGGTCATCGAAGCCATCCCCGAAAAGCTGGATATGAAGATCGAGCTCTTAACGGAGCTGGACAAGATCGCCCCGCCGGACTGCATAATCGCCAGCAACTCATCGTCCCTTCGGACCAGCCAAATGATCGTCAACACGGAGAAGAATTACCGCATCTGCAACGGTCACTACTACATGCCGCCGGAGCAGACGTACTTCGAGGTCATGTCGTGTGGCCACACGGATCCTGGTATCTTTCCGTTTTTAATGGAGAAGGCCGCCCAGGCTGGGTTCAAGCCTGTACATGCTCTGGTTGATTCTACCGGGCTGGTTTTCAATCGCATCTGGGCGTCGCTTAAGCGGGAGATTCTGCTTGTTCTCGCTGAGGGTGTTAGTGATGCTCATACCATTGATGAGATGTTCAAGAGTTGGTTCATGGCCACCAAGGGTCCTTGTCTGATGATGGATACTGTTGGCCTGGATACTGTGTACAATATTGAGGTCGTGTATAGCCAGCAGCGTGAGGTGGATACCACTGCCATGAAATGGCTGAAGGAGAATTATGTTGATAAGGGCAATTTGGGGGCCAAGGCTGGAAAGGGTTTACTTGGATAAAAAAATCATTTTAGATTGTTTTTTAGAAATTGCAATACAAAAGTTTGCAGAATATAACTATTGAAGCGATAGTTCTGAGTCTAGAGTAGAGATATATTACATGACACCAATTGGAACTATTGATTTATCAAAGGTTATACCTACGGGTGTGTATACCTACATGCCTCTGCCACTTCATGACGCCCTCTTTCCACGTTAGTGCTCAGGCCTTGCCGCTTTTTGCTCATTGAGTGCTTTGCTCTTATGCTATAGCGAGTGGGCGAATTTACTTTGGATGTCTACAATCTTGCTGTAGATAGATCGAAGGAATTTATGTTTACTAAAACAAAGATGGATTAGTTTCCTTGACAAGCGCACATATCGAAGTCCTTTTGTCAAGTCTTTTTCGCTATGACTAAATGAGGTGGCCCCCAGGGCCACGCGCCCCTAGGAAGCCTACTAGGCAGAGTGCATTGCGATACACCCAAGGCTTACACGCTTTTTCTTACCAATCATTTATTTTGACGCATACAACCTCCAAGAACACCCTACCTTTCTCACATTTCTCGGGCTGTGCCATCAGTGTTTATCTCAAAAAGGCTCGAGAGTCACTTCTTGAGTTGCACACTCCTAACAGCGGCTTTCGGATCTGTCGACCGCATTTCTTTCTGCTTCTACCGTGAACTATCCTCTTCATCCATTCACTACGCACCAATAGCAGAAGGAATGTCATCGAAGACCCAGCTCCCAACCGTACCGCCGACCATGCGTGCCTGGGTACGCCGGCGGCGCGGTCCTGCTAATAGCGCGCTCGAGCTGGCCACCGATTATCCAACCCCCGACGTGCCCTCAGGCTCGTCGCCCGACGTGCTAATCCGCGTGTCAAACGTGTCACTACAGTTCAGCAGTGAGTTGATAATGAAGATACTGCCTAAACTGCCTTTCACCAGCTCGTGGATCCCGGAGATTGAGCTTTCCGGCGTAATAGTAGCAGCTGGCGCGGGTGCACCGGCAGAGTTGCGCGATCCGGGCTCACATGTCATTGCGTTTCAGAACATTCCCAGCGCCGTGGTCATGGGCCACGGCGTGCTGGCAGAATATGTGCGACTGCCTGGCAGCCAGGTCGCACTTATCGATGACGGCATGGATATGGCGTCGGCCTCGGGCGTCATCGGGGCCGGTAGCACTGCGCTCAAGATGATTCGCACGGCAGGTGTGCGTGAGGGTCACACGGTGCTTGTGAATGGGGCCAGCGGGTCGGTCGGTTCGGTGCTTGTGCAGCTGTGCAAGCTGCGTGGTGCGAAGGTTGTCGGCGTGGCTAGCGGAGGTAACGAGCCCATGGTTCGTGATCTGGGTGTAGATGAGGTAGGCAAAGTTGCCAAACGTTGCATAAGAAAAATGACTAATATACAAACAGTTCATCGACTACCGCGAACATGAATCGCTGCCAGCCTACCTAGCGCATCAGTATGGCGACAAGCCGTTTGACTTTGTGCTTGATTGTGTCGGCACGCAAGCACTTTTTGTCAACTCCCCGGCTTATCTTAAGCCTGAGGGAGCTGTTGTAAATATCGGCATGCTCGAGGGCATGTATGTGACAGCGCGCAATGCCTTGCTTAACAGCTGGCTGCCCACCTGGCTGGGCGGCGTGCAGCGTCGCTATATAATGTTCAGCACGCCCCCGGCATGTGACGATGCAGTCTACTTAGCACGCCTGATCGAAGAGGGCCGCTTGCGTATCCCTGTCGACTCTGTCTTCGACATGAAGGATGCCATACGCGCCTACGAGCGTATCGCCACAAAGCGTGCGCGTGGCAAGGTTGTGGTCAAGGTGCATGATGACTAGGCTGCAGGCATGTCGAGGGCGTATAAGGGGGCTTATGCTCACAGAGATTGGTCGGATTTGGTCTGTACGTTGCTCGGCCCACTGTGGTGTCCAGTGGACGCGTATCTGAACTATGATACACACTTGTCTATCAACGAGCCGTGGGTTAGAATGGTAGAGGCCTTCCTAGACTTCGCCAGGGCTTCACAATAGATTTGAGTCGCGCGCCATAAGGGTAGCTTATCAGTACGTTTAGACCATGGCAGTGATACTATTGACTCTTCGACAAAATTGCTTACAAGGCATACATAGATCGCCCGGACTGAAATCTACTTAGTTAGTCTCACTCTGAGCGCCTTCGTAAAAGCGGCGGCGACTAAGAAAGCCCCAGCAGGCAGGGCAAATTAAGTATACACAAAGATAGTTACAGGTAGCTATATACATAAGTACGTCGATTTGCACATTCTAGGCAGTTTCCACCACCTGCATTCTAGAATAGAGGGGAAATATCTAGAAATAAAAAAAGACATCTAAAAAGAATGTGAGAAAAGATACCAAAAGAACGTCACAGGCCGCATAAGCGGCCGGTTATTCGTGCTGGATATAAGATAAAATTATATTCTCGGTCCCGGGGCTATATAGGTTCGGTCCATGTCGCCTCGGGCTGTTTAATTATAGGACAATGAGTTGCAACTCTTTGACAGATCGTGAAACACAATTTGAACCAAATAGGCGGCGGCGAGGGAGAAAGTGACCTTCGGAGCCAGTCGCCAAAGTGATGTACAAGAGTGTTGAAGAAAGGTATGGATAAAAGAAAATGACCAAAAGAAACTGAAATAGGGCATGAGGATAGGTATCGATCATCCAAGAAAACCAGACGGGGAATCAACAGTCATCAAAAGTATTAGTATCCAGGAGACACAATGATAGGAAATTACATAGGCAAGGAACGAGGGTGAAGTGAGGAGGCAATCAGAACAAGGCGACGGCAACAAATAAGCGCGCTCTGAGACCTCGGGGTAAAGGGTATAGAGTGAAAGGCATTAGAGGAAGGCCCTAGGGTGCGACTTGCGATCATTAGGGTATAGCACACCCATAGGGCCAATTAGTGCAAAAGGGGGGTTGGGCCGTGAAGAAATTAGCCAAACAAGGTCGAAGACAAACGCGCGAACGAAGCCTTGACCAGAGAAAGAATAATTATGGGGATTTCCTGCGACGATGGACTTTCCATTCCGCTTTAGCGACACGCATGAACATTTCGGTGTCTTTAATGGGAACCCAGCTAGTGAGGACTTTCATGATATTCTCAAAGTCAGATTCGAGAATGATTTCACGCATGCCATCAATAAGGGCAGCAGATGAAGCATGCAAGACGTCAAGACCTTGGCCAAATGTCCTTGGGTTCTCAGGAATAGGGACTCTGTTCTTCCCTGCAGAAGTTGCGGGACGGCCGGTGTTCTCTTCGGCATCTCCAAGGAGCATGAAGACATCCCACACCCGAAGCTGAGCCGGGAAGGGGATTGAGTAATTAAAGAGAGTGAGGTACCAACGAGTGCCGTAGGCTGTGGGGGGGATTCCAACTTCGTTCTACAAAAGTAAGCGTTAGTAGACCTCTTTCGTGTTTTAAGCGAAATTCACTTACCAGTTTCGTGGCCACTTCTCCTCCGGCGAGCCACTCTCGCTCAAAGTCGGCCAAGGCCTCCATTAGACCAGCAAAGCCAGACTTGTATAGCTCTTCCAGACCTCGTAGCTGCCACAATCTGACGAGCATAATAAAAGCACGTTCCTCATCGTAGTATGCCAGTAACGTAGCCGCAAGAGTTGCCATTCCCTGTACGTAGCCCGTGTCAGGGAAATATAGTGACATGGCGTGAAGGACACGGAACAATAGTCTTTGGCCACCCCGATAGCGCCTCCGGAACATGATATGGCCGGAGATCGTCCGTGGCACATCTATATCAATCTGAACATCGTCCGGTGACGAAATGAACTGGAGCTCATTGAAGGCTTCGATGAGTTCGTCTGCAGGCGGACTGCCCTTATGGCGTCGGGCACTGGCCTCAAGGAATGAATACCAGGCCGTTGACCGCCACCGATCTGGAATGCCTTTCCAAGTTCGCTCGATCAACTTTGAGCTCTGAGTGTCGAACTCAAAGGTCATACCACCGCCATCCTTGCTCTTCTTCGTCGGCTTAGCCATCTTGGTCCACTTGTCTTCACGCTGCCACTCCTTCCTTCGCATTGTGCGAGTAATTGGTACGTCTTCTTTCTCATCACCAGATGTAGTGGGCAGAGTGAGCATGTCACCCGCCTCATCTTTAACCTTTCGGTCTCGGTTGTGAGGCAGATGATTGGTTGCAGCACGCAAACGAGACGTCGAGCGGCGCAATGGTGGGCCATAGTTGCTCTGCGATGAAGATGGACGGCCGCTTAGGGAACTGTGGGATATCTTGCGGACTAGAGATGGTCCATTGAAGGAACGGTTGCTGGCCGGAGCGGTTGGTGGGCGAATTGAACGTTTCCGCCGAGGTGTCTCAGAAGCTAGCAGAAGGCTAGTCGTGACTCGCTGGAGCGGGTTAATCTCGGAACCATTGGAGTTCTTTGCAGGTCGAATGAAGCCGTAACGATCGACTTGTTCTGCACCGATATTTTGCCAATATTCAGCGCCGCCTGCTAGCTCCTGGGTTTCCCTCTTGATTCGGATACGCTCCACTTCGACAGACGCCCTTGGTTTGGTTTCATTTCCAGTCTCACTCGTAGCGAGTGATTCAGAGGTTTCAGAATCCGGGGCCGCACCCTCTTCCCATAAGACCCCGTTTTCTGAGGCCATTGCTTTCGCAACCTCGGAGTCGGTAACATTGTCTTCGCCCTTCTCGTACATCAGCCGAACTCGCCGTGACAACATATCTTCGTCTGCCGAGATTGCTCTGCTCGGAAGACTAGTCTGCCTCGGGCGAAGGGTGCTCTGGGGTCTGGCGCGCCGTGGGACCGCTTTCGGTGTTCCATTTTCTCCTTCGGGCCGGGTCATGATAATGGCAGGGGGCGGCGCAATTTCAGATGCCTGTCGCTCCAACTGTGGACCACAAGTCTCTTCCGGTATTTCCTGACCTGGCTGGCGTAGTTCTTGACAAAGTTCCTTCTCTTCTGGGCTTTGCTGGGGCGGGTCTGGTTGTTGCTCGGGCAGCTCGTCTAGCTTCTCCTGGGGTGGCTGGTCTGGTTGTGGCTCGGGCAGCTCCTCCAGCTTCTCCTGAGGGGTTTTGGGGCGTGGACGTTTCGCATCACTCTTGATCAGACTCCCACGACTGGAAAACTTCATCGGCTTATCCAGACCATCCAAAGAAGCAGTCGGTATATCTAAGGGAATACCAGCAAAGGGGTGCTCGATCTGAGGCACTGGCGGAGGCTCTTCGGAGCTGAGTTTCCTCTCCATCTCAAGTGATCGTTTTTTCAAACCACCCCACCTTCTTTCTGACCATCGAGAGCCCGGCCTTGAGCCTGGTCGTGAGCTGGGACGGGAACCTGGTTCATTCACAAGAACGCTGGGCACGCTGCGCAAGGACGGCGCGCCTTCCGATCGAATGGTTCGAGTTTCATCTCCAACAGAAACGGATGGCGCGAGCCGTGGGAACCTAAGCGCGGATGCACGATCATCACTCGAACTGGCTGACGCAGCGCTTGTGCTGAAAGATCGGCCATTGGAGGCTATTGGCGCATCGCCTGTGGGCAACGAGGCCGACCGGTTTGCAAGAGGGGCGGCAACGGTATTTTCAAAGGGCACGGCGTGAATTGTCGGATTGGACTCCGATCGGTCGGGCGATAACGATGCAGGAAGCTCATTCACCATTATCCCGGCATGACTTGCGACTCTGCGCGTGGGCTAGAATCGCGTGAAGAAAAGGAGTGTAGGGACAAGGCGAAAGGGGGGGGAGGGCCAGATTAAGCGAAAATGGAGATCCAAGTAGAAAGGAGCGACAAGGGGAAAATCACAAGGGAAGTTCAGCAAAACAGAATCTCCAGAATTAAAATTGAGAGATACCTGGAGGAGTGGAGTTATTTTGGGTCGGTCCTTGGCGCCTCTTCAAGTCAGTGCTGGACTTTAACGGGGGCATCTTCGGGGGTTTCATATGATCCCCTGTAGTTTACATATAACTACATCTGTATGTATACTACACGTATTTTAGTATCTCCCTAACCATACTACTAGCAAGTCTCTACTCTCTTCTGTTCCTTATTTCCCTCTTAAAATAGAATATCAAGGGGGCTGTCCCACCTCTATGGGCCGCGTGTGGATCGTGAACAAGGAGTGGTGGAGTACGCTAGTTCTAAGGTGCTTAGATTAGAATCATTGCCCAACGGATGTGACATCAAGAGGTAATCTGTTCAATTGTATCCGTGCATACCCAACTATGGAATACGTGGACAACACAGAGTAGATGCAATTCAAACCACCCAATTCCCACTGAACGCCCCAGATGTACAGAACGCGTGGAACTCCTATAGCCGAGGCTTGGATAACCATCAGCTGTCAATGCTCAATGCAGTCAAAAGGGTGAAAAGCCCCCCAGCTAGAACCAACGCAAAAAGAAAAAGTATCATAAGGGCGTGAAACGGTCAATCCAGCGACCCAACGTTAGATCTAGTTCAGGCCACAGCGGCTGTGTGAGCTGATGGCGAGTCGCGAGTTGGTCGAGCCCGATCCACAGGCTCTTTGGGCAAGAGTTCAATCTGACGGACCAGGAAGCTTTTCTCATCCGTAAATTGATCATCGTCAGTTCGGTCCTCCAAGAATTTAGGTAAAAACCTCAGCAGTCGATCACGGTTATTGATCAGAATTCGTTGCACCGGCACCGATTTGGTCGGGTTGGCCACAAACACCTAATCCCTTGTCAGAGCGAGCCCTCATCTGCGTTAGGAGCGATTTGAGGGCAAACTTACTTTAAAAACATGGAATCCTTCGTATTGTACCATCTTGCGGTCGTCCCGCAACAGTTTCATGCAGAGTTTGAGATTATCTCCACTCTCCACGTATGCCATCATCACATTGTAGTTCGCACGGTCCAATAGGATCTCCCCAAGAAGCTTGATGCTTTGACGCTTGGTGACATACGAGTCCGAGTGGACCAGGATGTTGTTGAACCGTCCAAAGAATAGTTCAAAATTGGTTGCCAGGTACGAAGTTACGAGGCTCTTATGGCGGGTCAAAATCTCCTGGAAAAGGCACGTCAGTTCATTTATCATCAACCTTGGAATAGCCATCGATCTGGATCTTACCCTGAATGTGGTGAACGCATCTGCGCTGACTTCGAAATTGCTCTTGTCGATCCAATCAAAAAATCTCCAGAACACACCATCCCCCCGTTGCGGCTGATTAGGTTTCACGTCTGATAGTCGTATCGCCGATTCTCCTTCACTGGATTGGTCATACAATACAATCGCAGTGATGACATCGAATTTCAATGCCTCTCGGAGAATGACACCACATGGCATCGCACTTTGACTCTGCATGTAGCCACGGCATAACTCGACAATGATTTCTGGTCGATGGTGGACAAGGTATGAGATAACTGGAGGATCCTTTTCGGCGCCATATGAATTAGGCCGGAACCGAAGGATATGGGAGAATACGGTTTGAGTGTCTTTTCTGGCTTCGAAGGGAAGCAAATGGATGCTTTTGGATAGATCAAAGAGTAGATCTTCTTGAAGGGTTGCTTGGACAAGTGCATGGACTTGATCCACTGATGCGGAGACCTCTGAACATGACGATTATTGGGTTAACTCCTTGACATTGCGCGTTGGGTATTACTTCTAGAAGACCAACCTGGTGTTCCTTGTACTATCACCTTCATTTGACTGAGTTGCTTAGCCAGCTCCTCTTCGGCCTAGTTTACTCATCAGTCGGATTCTTCTTTCCATGTTTGATGTCTCCAAACGAACCTTGGGAGCATTCTGGGAGTCATGGATCCTCAGTAATAAATCCTTGGTTGTCCGGACGATATCAGCAGGTTGCCGCGACCGGCCGCGATTGAAAAAGAAAGCCATGGTGAGATGGAGAGAATATGCGGCAAATTGAGAAAGAAACTGGAGATTAAGGCGACATGGGATAAGTTATAATTGCAACGGGAGAATCAAGATTGAGTCCAAGGGGAAGCAAATGTGATGTATTCGACTGCAAGTTGCGAATAAACAAACCAGGGCGGGGCAACGGGCAACGGGGTCCTGCTGCCTGAGGCATCCGCTGATAACGGATTTTTTTTTCTCTATCAAATTGCTATCTCTGCCCCTCCCCCTCCAAGGTTGAAACAATTTGATATTGACCATTTATAAGTCATGTCAGCTTCCAATACCGTGGATCCACCCGTGGGTGAGAGATTCCCTGACTCGCATTCAGTATCGGATTCCTCCGATTCTAGCAACGAGGAGGGCTGGGAAGATGTCGAGCCCGATGAGGAGTCGCAGCCTGTGGTTGGCCTCTTCACTGAGCAGGTCTTCCCCGATGCGCGCTCAATGCTAAAGGAGTGCAAGGAAAAGTACAATTTTGATCTATTGAAGATTCAGAAGGATCTTGGTATGTGCAGCTTCCACTACTCTTGCGGGGGGTCCACCAATTGAGGCTAACTATTTTTCCGCTTCTAGATTTGGATTTCCTCGACAACATCAAGTTGGTCAACTATGTCCGCACAGAAGTCAAGAACGGAAACAACACCCCTGATGTATCATCCAAGTCCAAATTCGAGGATGATGTTTATCTCAAGCCCGTTTTGGAGGATGATGCTCTCTTGTACAGCTTGGACGATCTTGCCGAAGAACAGGGTGAAGACGCTGCCCCTGCCACCGAGACGAACCGACAGGTTCTCGAACTTCAGGAGAACTTGGAGCGATTGCAGACACAATTCTCCGAGTACCGTCTTGCTGTGCAGAAGTCGATGGACGACCAATTATCGAAGGAGGATGATAAGCTTGCTGAATCCAACCCTCAGCCCTCGGCGAAGGCTGTCGACAGACTGCAGGACGCTGAAGATGGGTATTTCGTCTCGTACGCTTACAACGGTATGATATCTCGCCCAGCTTATCATGCATATGATACTAACATAGTCTAAAGGCATTCACGAATCTATGCTCAAGGACACCATCCGTACCGACTCTTACCGCGATTTCGTGTATGAAAACAAGCACGTTTTCAAGGACAAGGTTGTTCTTGATGTTGGCTGTGGCACTGGTATTTTGTCCATGTTCTGTGCCAAGGCTGGCGCAAAGAAGGTCATTGCTGTCGACAACTCGAACATCATTGATCGGGCTAAGGAAATTGTCCACGACAATGGCCTTGAAGATGTGATCACGTAAGAACTCATAATCATCCCCTAATAAAGAGACAAGTACTGACTCTATCCCAGGTGTATCCGTGGCAAGATCGAAGAGGTTACTTTGCCCGTCGAGAAGGTCGACATCATCATCTCCGAATGGATGGGTTATGGTCTCCTTTTCGAGGCTATGTTTGATTCTGTCATCTACGCCAGAGATCGTTACCTCGCTCCTGATGGTCTTATGGCTCCTTCTCACGCTACCCTGCGCCTCGCTCCTTACGCCGACCCGGATTTCATCGCGTCGCACATCTCGTTCTGGAACAACGTCTACGGTTTCAAGATGGACAGCATGCTTCACAAGATCTACGATGAGGCTGTGGTTCGCAGCAACCAGCCCACGACCGTTGTCGGAGAGTCTCAGGTTTTCTTGACACTTCCGCTGCACACCATCACTGTTGAGGAGCTATCATTCTTGAAGGAATTCCAGGTCACCTTGAATCAGGATGTTGATGCATTGGATGGATGGATTATTTGGTTCGACATTTTCTTCATGCCCTCCAGAGAGTCTGTTCTGCCTGAGGATGCCATCCCCTCAGACCTGCAAAAGAAGGGAATTGTCTCGTTCACCACTGGTCCTCATGGAACCGAGACCCACTGGCAACAGACTGTTCTTCTCATTGACCATGCCAAGGACCACGCTAAGCAAGGTTCTCAGGCCTTGAAGAAGGGCCAGGTCATCACCGGCAAAATCGGTTATGAGAAGACTGAGAAGGGCTCTCGGGGGGTGGACATCAGTGTTCAATGGGAGTCCGATGCAAATGAGAAGGGGGTCCAGCTATGGAGCCTCGTATAGGATCGAGCGTTCTTTTGATACGTTTTCTGATGAACTAAAAGAGATATGACCACCTACATAGAAAAGGTTTATTTGACCCAGTGAATAAGAAAATGAGGTTTGCGGCCTTGTGATGTTTTTTTTTTGTGGCAGTCTTTTTCAGATGTCTTCTGAGAGAGATATATATATATTTAGATGTTCCCCTTGCTGACGTTGTAGCTAGAATAGAATATTTGTGAAAATGGCTTAAAATGGCCATTTCCATGTATAAAATTTCATTTACATTTAGTAACAAGCAATGTAATGGGTATCGTTGTCGTAATTTGAGTTATGATCTCGTAGAACAAATGGAACATCTAGGATTGATTCTTTGCTTCAGAATGTTTTTCCCGCTTGGGAGCCTCAGAACGTTCATCGTGGCGATGACGATGACTGCGATGAGAGGAGTGGTGATGAGAGCGATGATGAGAGCGATCTCGGCTTTGATCTCGACGGCGACGATGATGCCTGTCAGAACTTCGTCTGTCCTTCTCACGTTCCCTGTCCGGCGCATCTAGTTTGAATCTATCAAGGCTGTTCACTGATGCGGATCGCCTTCGCCGGTGGCTTGACCTCCGCACCTTCTCGGCTTTCAAAGTTTCGATCTCTCTTTGCTTCTCATCATTCCACCGTTTCCGTTCCTGCTCTGTTGTTTTCAACTGACGCACACCTCGCTTTATGGCTGCGAGTGGGTCATTCGCACTCATACGAGCCTGTGTCCTCTCTTTGCGTCTTGGGTCCTCGTTACCCCACACATCTTTCTCGGGCATTGCCCCTGGTGCTGTTGCATTTTGTTCTGAGGAGGAATACCACGGTTTTCGACCAATAGTCTCCCTGAAGCCCGCGGCGTTGGAGAACCTCATTGTGTATTGGTCTTCATAGCTGCGCTTTTTCCGTGCAGTTTCAGCCTCTGCTTCGGGGTTCTTCTCTGTTTTAGTATCTGCAGCTGGGAACAGGTTGATATGGCCGGCCTTGTCTAGAATCGGTGCTTGTGTTGTATCAGCCTTGCGAGAGGCGAGCATCAACTCTTCCCGCTTAGCAACTGCTTGCGCCGCATCCTCCCGAGCGTATCGTATATCTCGATCCGTATCATCTTCCCCGGCAACGCGCCTTCTCTTACGAAATCCCCCAGCGTCGCCGGGCTTTCTGTCTGATCGAGCCCCGGGTTCAGACGACAGATGGGAGGGCACCGGTGGAGGTGTAGGCGGACGTTCACCGCGAAGAATTTTAATCCTGCGTTCGGCATCGATCTCTTGCATAATACGTTCATCTTCTTCTTCGCGGGCTTTTGCTTGTGCCTCGTCGCGCTTGACGCGTTCGATATTCTCGATGTTGTAGACGTTCCATGACTTTTTACCGAGGAGATGGCTATAAAATAATTAGCGGGATCAGTGGATTTTAAAAGTTTCGAAAGAAAAACTCCAACTTACAGAGGCATCTTGAAAAGTGACTGACCTTTGCTTGGAGGTTGCTCGATAGTAAAGAGCTGGTCTTATCGATAATGACGTCCCCACGGCCCGACGCTGTTCCCGGGGTGGCCAAATGCCCCATCGACAGCTTTACGGCTCCAACTCTTTTCTCTTCCCTTCAAATTTGATTTGCTTTGGATATTAGCATATATCCAACAAATCCTTGAACATAAAATTTTGAGAATTGACCCCAGGTCACCCGCGCTGCAGAGCCGTCAGACTTGCACAGTTGCCTGCTCCTTTCCCGACACAGTTTCACTAAAACAATAGCTTCAACAGTTCTCACCTCAACCTCTGTGATTAGCGACAATCAAGTGATTCATCATGTTCAATCGCGGCAATATCCCGAATCCGTTCAGCTCCAGCGGACAACCCTCCCCGCAGGGTCACCCGAACCCCAACCAAGCACCCCCACGGTATGATACGGATCGCTCCCCCTCGTCCAGTGCAGGCTATGCAGCTCGGATCTGCGATGACGATGTGCCGATGACTGATGTGTATAATGATATAAGTGGTTACGGAGGCCCACCTCCACCAGGAGGGAGACCGCCGCAGCAGCAGATGCCTTCCAGGATGCAGTCCGGACAAAGAGGTGGAGGCCAGACTTGGACTCTTCATCCCAGCAAGAGTCCGAACGAAAACTACACATTTGGAAACCTGTGAGTATTCTCTGGCGGGATTTTTATTCTCGGGGACTAACATGCAGTAGCGTCGCTGTTTCGCCGCAGGACATCCCACCTTCACGAGATGGCACCGACGTTCTCCTCCTTATCAATGACCTCTTCGTCTTCTCTGCCCGCCCTCTCGACGGTTTCCCTTCCGGTTATATGAGCATGTCGGATCCTCAGCGGACATGGGCCAACATCGGATTGAGAGATGCCATCAAGGTGCAGCTGTACGATCCGTTTAGCCAAGGCGGACAGGCCTACCTAGGCTCCGCGGATATTGAAGTCAGCTTCGCATCTACCAAGAAGCGGGTTGAAGCTCCTTACGACCAGGATGAATTGGCACAGGCGGTGATCAGGGTATGTCGACTTCATCCCAGTCCTGAATACATGCTAACGAACCCCAGAACTTTGAGAACCAACTATTCTCCCCTGGCCAGAGAATTCTGATGGATAATAAGAGCATCCCACTCTTACTACAGGTCAAGACCGTTCAGCGGGTTGATTTGACATCAGAGAAGGCCGATCTCAGTTCTGGACAAGTCGAGACCGATCCTACAGCCAGGGGTATTCTCACACGGCACACTCAACTCAACTTCTTTAAGGATACCCAGACCGGCATCAACGTGAAGCCATCTAACCGCCGCCCGGCGGCCAACTCTATCATCCAACCGGGCTTCAAGTTCCAGGATATGGGTATCGGTGGTTTAGACTCCGAGTTCAGTACGATCTTCCGTCGTGCTTTCGCCTCTCGCATTTTCCCTCCTGGTCTGGTTGAGAAACTTGGTATTCAGCACGTTAAGGGTCTCTTGCTTTATGGACCTCCAGGAACGGGTAAAACTCTCATTGCTCGGCAAATCGGAAAGATGCTTAATGCTAGAGAGCCCAAGATTATCAACGGCCCAGAAGTTCTGAACAAGTACGTGGGTCAGTCGGAAGAAAACATCCGAAAGATGTTTGCGGATGCCGAGAAGGAGTATAAAGAAAAGGGCGATGAGAGTGGTCTCCATATCATCATCTTCGATGAGCTGGATGCAGTGTGCAAGCAGCGTGGTAGCGGAGCTGGCGGTGGTACTGGTGTCGGCGACAGCGTGGTCAACCAGCTCCTTTCGAAACTCGATGGTGTCGATCAACTGAACAACATTTTGTTGATCGGTATGACCAACCGAATGGACATGATTGATGAGGCTTTGCTACGTCCCGGTCGTTTAGAAGTGCACATGGAAATCTCGCTCCCCGACGAACATGGCCGAAGCCAGATTCTCAACATCCACACCGAGAAGATGCGAAACAATAATGTTATGGACAAGGATGTTGACTTGGCCGAGCTTGCTCAATTAACCAAGAACTTTTCTGGTGCCGAGATCGCAGGTTTGGTCAAGTCTGCCTCTTCCTTCGCTTTCTCCCGCCATGTCAAAGTCGGTACTATGGCTAGTATCAATGAGGACGTGGTAGACATGAAGGTCAACCGGGCCGACTTCCTCCACTCTCTTGATGAAGTCAAGCCTGCCTTTGGTGTGTCCGAGGAAGAGCTGTCTAGCCGCATTCCATACGGCATTATCGACTATTCTCCAGCTATCAGTGAAATCCTGCGGGAAGGCGGATTATTTGTCAAGCAAGTTGGAACGGCCGAGTCAACTCCACTGTTCTCCGTGCTGCTTCACGGTCCTCCTAGCAGCGGCAAAACCGCCCTGGCAGCACGGATTGCTATTGACTCCGGCTTCCCCTTCATCAAGTTGATCAGCCCCGAAGACATGGTTGGCTTTAGCGAGCCAGCAAAGATCTCCCACATCAGCCGAATCTTTGACAGCGCCTACAAGAGTGCTACAAGTATTGTTGTCATTGACAACATCGAGCGAATCATCGACTGGGTGCCGATTGGTCCTCGCTTCAGCAACAGCGTGCTGCAAGCTCTCATGGTTTTCCTGAGGAAGCAGCCAACTCACGGACGTCGTCTGTTGGTTCTGGCCACGACAACTGAGCGTGCCTTGATGAAGCAGCTAGACATCTACAACTCCTTCAACTCGGATATCATGGTTCCCAATGTTAGTTCCTTCGGTGAACTACGGTTTGTCATGGAGAAATCCGGTGCATTTGACGCACAGGAGATTGCGCAAGCTCTCGAATCAGTCGGTGGACTTGCGGATGACGGGCGCTTGAGCGTCGGCATCAAGAAGGTTCTCTTGGGCATTGAAACAGCCAAACAAGATTCTGACAAGGTTGGTCGCTTTATTCGCGTCATCAACCGTGCTATTGAGGAGGAACGGAGTTTCCAGTAAACATTGTCTATAATGGGCGTTCTTCTTGAGTATAGCTGGGCTTATAACTAGATTAGTCCTGAAGTATATAGCTGCTTGCAATCCTAGTTTCTCCGTTGGTATCTTCATAAGTCCATCTCGCAAACATCCAGTCAATATCTGATACAGCACATTTTGTGAGAACTAGCAAACGGCGTATATGACACAATATCGTTCCAGCGCTGTATGATAAAATTATTCTTTTAGTTCACATTGGCACTATGTTCATCCAGAGGCAGCTGGGGTCATATTAGTTTGTCATCTTGACTACTTGCAAACACTCAAGCCCAAAACACTATAGGTCTTCTATATAAATCAAGAGACCAAGTATATCCAAGGTCCGTTTGAATTCCAGCCTTTACTCAGCTCGTATTGAATTGTACATGTATGTAACAGCCGTTTTAGGGTGTCAGGTCAGATACATCAGTCTTCAGCGTCAACTTGCAGTTACACAACAGCATACCATACAACTGTCAACGGTGCTCTACAGGCCCAGAGAGATACGGGCACACTTCAAGGTCTCATCTTACAGGCCTACAAGGCAGCAATTCTTAGACCATACGGAAAATCTGGTAAAACCAATACCATTCAGAGAACCCTCTCTACTATACGTCAAGAGACACAAATTACCTATCCAAGATATACACAAAGACCCAACCGAAGAATCAAAAGCGCGCCAGACCCATCGAAGAAGCCAAAAAGTCCAAAAATAGCCCCACATATATCCCAAGATCCCAATTTTTTCCATGTCAAGGGGGGTTGCCCCATCATATCAGTCATCAAGCAGCCCATCGCAGCCCAAACAAGGCCCAATCAGTAATCATCATAGGCGTACTTCTTCGAAGAACGACGGTACTCATCAGGATGGGCCTTCTCGGCCTTAGTCTTCAGGGCACTATTTCCAGGCACGTGTGTCAGCCTTCTAGAAGCACACTCATCGGCGCTAATGCCGCAGACAAGGCGCTGATCGACGTGCACGTGCCAAGCTCACCACAGCGGAGCGGAAGCCACTGTCGCGGAGCGGAGCGGAACTTGCACGTCCACCGTACCACAATGCCCGGTTCTAGGGGTGGATTTGCTTACCTGACGCGCTTTTGCGTCCATTCCAGGTCGCGCTTTGTCTCTCGTGCGGTTTTCAGACCTTCGGAGAAATTCGCCCGTGCGCCTTTCAGTCGGCGTTGCGCGAGAGCTTGGAGCTCGAGGAGTTCTTGCTGCTTTGCGTTCAACTGCCCAGATCTGCGTGTGTAGTTGCTGTTAGCTTGGTGTTTGTGAATCTTAGGATATCTTGCTGGGGCTTGTTTTGTGGATCGCCATCCCCTGGTGGTGGTCGCTGCGGGGGTGGAATTGCGAATGCTGAGATAGTGATTTAGGGAAACTCACGTCTGCGCTTGTCGTGCTAGCCCCTTGTCCAATGGTGTTGGATCAAATGCGTCCTGTATGCGGTCGCTCAGGACATCCACGACATCGACTCCGGAGTACGATGCAAAGCTGGAGTCGTACTCGCCGGCAGAGCTGAAGGTAAGCCCGCCAGAGGAACGACTGCCGGCGGTGGTGCTTGCATCAGAGAAGTCTGGTGGGGATCCAGAGACTCTGGAAATTGGGTATAGAGATGCTGGTGCCGGCGCCTTGGAGGGTGCATGGTGGTATGGGTAGGCAGCAGGCTGGTAATAGTGACGCTGGGTGGCCATGGCGACGATTGACTGCAATAACAGCAAGTGTTATAGTGGAGTAAAGAAGAAGAAGAAGTATGAAGCTCAAGTGGACTTCAGTGAAGTAAGATGAATCAAGAAGATGGGAAAGATGTGGAAGAATGTGCAAACGGGCCTAACTAGGAGTGATGGGAAAGGAAGAAGAAGGAAGGACAGTCTCCCCCGGGCCAGATGGGGGATTTTATAACCTCCTGCGGGGAGTCTTCTGTCCGGCGGATGCTCCTCTCCTGGCGGAGGCGAGTGTGATGGCAAGGATTGCGAAGGCCTCGAAGGAGCCATTGGACCACTCGGGGCACATTGACTCGCACCCCTCCCTCTGTACCCCCAATCCCCGAGCTCCGTCTGCACGTATGTCTCCATATCTGCCCGCCGATTTGCCTCTTGGACCGCCTTGACCCCGCTCAGAGTGGGAAAAAAAGACTCAATGTGTCTGGTCAAGGACGCCAGCCTTCCACTAGGGTTTCCGCCCTTCCGTGGCGGCGTGGTGCAAATCCGGTCTCGATCTACGCCCCTCTTCCTGGTCTAACTTTCGAGGCCAAAGCGTAAACTGGAAGTATTCAGGAATTGACTAGAAAGGACATGGAGGGTGGGTTTGAAGAGGGTAGGATGGGTGGAGTTGGTGGGAAGGTGAGATATAAATATCGCCCTTACCGTCCTTCCTTCGCCCACTTTGTCTTGCCTTTTTTTTTTCTTTCATCTCTCATAATTATCTTCTTTTCCCGCCCTTGTCCCAGGTAGACTGACTTTTGTCTTCAGAAATTCGGGGGCTGGGAATAGGACGATCAAGGTTGATTCGTTAAACAAAAGCCCCAAAGATAAGACGAACTACACAAGAACCAGTGTGACATATTTCGTCTTCTAACTATCCAAGTCTAACATGATGGTTAGTTTATCAGTTTTCTTTATCAGTTTTCTATACATATACAAGCGTTGGAGTTGTATAGTTGTATAGTTGTATAGTTGTGGTCAAATACGCCATTCCGCGAAAACCCAGAAGATCGGGATGTCTCGCGGCCTTACATCATCCTTGGGATCGGAGCCCAAAAGCCCAAAAATGAGGATCGCTGCATTCAATTCAGGTCACACGGATATTGTTGGACATCACTGCATGAGCTAAAGGACCGTGAGAAAGATTGGAATTCGAAACTGTTCCCGAATCAGTGACCGCATGCTTCCTTTGCAAGGTTCCAACAAGAACCATCCCGGCAATATATGAGCAAAAAGGAAAGTTGTGCGACCAATGCGCAATAAGTCTAGATCGAATGGCAAGACGAAGAAGTCCAAAAAACACAAAGTGAACACTGATCCTTGTCCTCCTGTTCGTCTGTCTGGATGCGGCTGTTATTGCTGCACGAGACAGCCCCCCTTCTCGCACGAATTCAATAGCCATCAGATCCATTGACCGCAGAACAAAGAGAATTGCTGCATCGACAAGCGCTCTAGACGCCCATTAACGTGGGAAGAGAGCACGCAGCTGGCCCCCACTCTATGCAGATGGCCGATGACTTGCTTGACGATAGCTATGGGGCCTGTATGATAAAGGGAAGCCATCCGGTAAGCCCCGTCAGAAACACTATGAGAAAATGCTGTGCCGCCCACGACCCTTCATCATTGGTCCCAGATACTTGCTGACATGGACACCATGCAGGCCCAACTATGTTGTAGGGAAGAAAATGGGGACTGCAGGGCACATCCTCTGGTCCGGGTGTTCTAAACTGGATCAGGATCTGCCATGCTGATTCTAAGTCTCCTTCTCTCTCTTTTTTTTTTACCCGCTCGTTGATGCCTCACTGTGCCTAAACGCCTCTATGCCTTACAGCCTGACAACTCACGATATGCCCCGTCAACCCACACAAGGTTACCGAGGAACCCTGTGACACCACCCTCTTCCATACCCAATCTGTCATTGAGAACCGCAGGGATGCCATTCGTCTTGCTTTATGCTGAAAGTGGCTGAGCCCGATCTCTTATTCGACCAGGCTATAACATCGGGCAGCACGGCTACTAATGACGTGCAGTGCTCACTTCGGCTTGGAATGGGCCAAACATCTTTTTTTCCTTGAAATTCTTTCGCTCTTCGTCATAGTCTTTCCACCAACTCAGTCCTGATCCGCCCCTCCTTTTAACTCAGACTTCAGACTCAAAAGGCGTGTTGGTTTGATCCTTCCAATGTGAATACTCCGTGTAGGTACTATGCCAACAGAGTTTACTTGCATAGGTTACACCAGCCCGCTGTTTTGGCCCAAATATTGGAAAGGATTGTATTCTGTGCCTGCTTTCATTGACTATGGCGCTCAATTAATGTCTTTTTGTCTAGCGTTATCCGGGAAGTGTGTGTGAAGTGTTTTCAAGTTTGAATCGACCATGTTCACGACCTTTGCCTCATATACGTCGAATTCGAATTCGAATCCCAAATCCCCGGTCAAATCAATCCAAAATCAATCCAAATCCAACCCGTTTATTATTTTTCCAGCGCACAAGTGGGGGGTTGCGGGGATTTTCTACTTCCTTCACCGCCACATGCGCCATGGCCAACTCATTCGTTTTCCCTTTTGGGGAATTATCACTCTACTCCATAGTATAGGGTCTAGTTCATCTCGTATACTATTTCGGATTGGTTTAGTGGTCGACTTTACAGTGATTTATAACCCTACCCTCCCAAGGTCTTTACAATGTATGTACCTCTGGTGCCTAATGGCACCTTATTGGAGTATTTTCCAGCATCTTTTAATCATATTTTAAATGGTTTATATTAGTAGTCCGCATCAACCTCGACTACCACCATGCACACAGATAAAGAGGGTACTTGCCTGTGAGAAATCTTGGCTGCTTTAGCTCGTAGCAAGTGATGCAATTACGATATATATATATATGTCAACCTTGCAAACGCCCATAAGATAAAAGTACCCACAAGAAGCCCCAATATCTGGCATCATGTTCCATACACCGTCCAAACGCCAAAGCAGAAAGGATATTGAACCCCAGAAAAGAAAGAGAAAACAAAGGAAAGTGAAAGGAGTTGGATTATTAACAAATACAGATCCAGAAAATAGATAGGTGCCATGCGCTCATAATCTGGTATCACAAGAAAGTAAAGAAAGGCCAAAAAGAAACAAAAACAAGAGGGACTTCGCTTGCTTGGTAAACCCCAAATCAAGAGAGAATTAGAGCACTGACGCCACGATGCACAGGCTCGGAGGGCGGAGGGCGGAGGGCATCTGTACTCTTGAATGGGCAGAGTAGAGAGAACGACGGAAGAATAGATGCCCTCCTGACCCTGTGCAAATGCAAATATCGCAATGGAACTTCCACAATGGTGAGATCAGCCCTGAAATGTAAATGAGCACGCTGCATGCGTGTTTAGCCAGTTTCCAATGGCTCTCCTGCGCAATCCACCAAATCCAAAGAGACATTTCCGTAGAAAATGAATCACCAAAAAGTCACTTCGTGGTCCATCGTAAGAATATCAAATGCAATAACAGGAGAGGTGGGATACGGCTGGCTATATATGTGTATATATATATGTATATATATAAAAAGGAATATTAAAACAAAGACATGCTATCAAAGCAGCAAAGATGTAAGGGGTGGAGGTGGTGGCCAGGGCGGGTAAAGACCCGGGGGAAGTCCCTAGCGGCGAGTAGCCATGGTCTGTTGTTGTTCTGGGCTAAGACGGTCGCGCAGAAGCATGAGTGGGCGACCGGGCTCAAGAAGACCCATCATCATCTTGCCCAATTCATTGTGTTTGATCGGCTTGGTAACGTAGTCATTGAAACCTGCGCGGGCAGCGTTTTCAATTTGATCTGTCATTGCGTTTGCTGAAAGAGCCATAATTGGAATCTGTGGGTAATGGTTCTTTTGTTCCCAGTCACGGATATCTCTGCAGGTATCGTAACCATTCTTGATAGGCATCTGAATATCACACTACGAATCAACGCGGTTAGCTTTGCGGGGAAAGAAAGCGTGTACAGTAAAACTCACGATGATGAGAGAATAGTATCCCGGCTCTTTAGAGAGCACCATGTCAGTGCACTCCAGTCCATTGGATGCAGTCTCCGACATCAGCTTGATCTTGTCCAAATACTTCAACATGACCTATATATGAGTTAGCAATCAATTCGACGACGGTCCCATCAATAAACTTACATCTCGATTGGTTTCGTCATCCTCGACGAGCAGGATTCGATACCCCTTGTTGCCCAAAACTTCTTTGACCATCTTGGAGACGGTCTTGAAGTTGTTATTGATCTCGCGCGCCATGTCTTGGTTCCGATCTTTGCTCAGCTCACGCTTGCTCTTGGGATCAAATATACTTGAGAAAGCAGAAGGTTTGACAGGCTTTGGCACAATAAAAACCTGCTTTCCTGAAGCTGCTAGCTCTTTGACCCGTGAACTGATTTGACGCTTTTGGTAAAGGTCTGCAATTATGACGATGACGGGCGCGGGATCCAAGGCTGGGTCTGACATGTTTTGAATGACCTCCAAAATATCATCGGTTGGAAGATTCAAGACAAGATGTGTGCAAGGTTGGACATCGGAATCAGAGTGCATCGCATCTTTCCATTCATCAACATCAACTAACGTTGTGACTTTGAACGAAATCTCATGAGGGACGACCTGCTCAATGTGCTGCTTTGTGGCTTGCCGGGAGTTTTTGAGCGGACATAGGATTACGATGGAGAAAGGACCATGGACAGGCACAGATACTGGTCCTATTGGTGTACCTGGAGAGGCAGATGCTTGAGACGGAGGCGACACAACGCCGGCCGGTGTGTCGGGCTTTGTAACGGCAGGTTGGGTTGTTGGATTCGAGACTGCATCTGGCAGATTCCCCAAAGCGGCTGTCGGCTCCAATGGAGGCGGCAGGGGCACGGGGCCAATATCTGGGGTCGGGAGAGCAGAGGATGTAATTGACAACGAGGCAGAAAGGGTGGTATCAGAACTTTTGCCGGATGAGTCGGAGTTTCTGGGGGCTAGAGGAGGTGCTTGTTGATAAGAGGTTGTTCTGGATTTTGCCGGCCTTCTCGAAGCAGTTGAATTCTGGCGCATCAAGTTGGGCTGCTCAGAAGGGGAAGGTGGCGGAGGAGCATCGACCTTGACGTTAAAAGAAAACTTTGCTCCCTGGCCCTCTTTGCTACTGGGAGTGAGCTTGCCACCATGCATTTCGACAAGTTGCTTCGACAGGAAAAGCCCCAGGCCGCTACCTGCATGTTGCTGTGTCCCATTTTCTCCGAGCTGACTAAATCTTTGCATCAGTCGTTCCGCGTCCTGAGAGCTGAACCCTTTTCCGGTGTCCACGACCTCGAAGTTCATGAATGCCTGGGTGTCGTTAGGATTTGCAGATGGATCCCGATACATGTCACAGCAGATGTGGATTTCACCCTGGGCAGTGAATTTGACTGCATTTCCGAGAAGGTTGATCAGGACTTGACGAATTCGGAACCGATCTCCAATCACCATCGATGGCAAGTCTTCGCCTATAAGATAGTTGATTTCGAGACCCTTATCGATCGCTCGTGAGGCGACGGTGTCGATTACATCCTCGA